ATCAATCAAAATTAAATATATCAATTTTTGAATTAAATTAATACCAAAACATGTTTAATTTTTGATCAATTTTAAAATCTAAATTCTTTAAATCCATAGCAAATAGTGTTTGATGCCACACAAATGAGAAATTAAGATATCTAAATTTTTTAAAAAAAATAAGAAATCCACAATACCATAAAATATAGACAACAAATGAATTAAAATTAAAATTAACATTTCCTAGTAACCATATATTTTCAATAATTAATGGGAGTCCATTTTCTTTGTTGTTGGGATGCTCGTGCTATTTTTAGTCTACTTTTTTGGGCTAGGTAGCCCATTGTTGTCCGAAACCTTGAATGGATTCCTTCCTAAGCCGTGGTAGCGTGTACAATTTAGAGCCGCATGCCTATTCCGCATTTCTTGCTAAAAAGCCCATGAAAGAATGTCTATAACTAGTTTCCTTCTTATCAACAAAGCTAACATTTTTTCTCGAGTAAACCCATAGGAATTTGTTGAAATTTCCAAATTTTATACGTAATGGAAGTTCTATAAATACCTTTACATCCCATGCAGAGACACCAAGGTTTCAACACTTTAACTAGATTTCAAGTACTAGCTATCTATCTCACAAAGCTCTTAGAAAGTTTAAGCTAAACCTCTCCAACTCTTTTCCTTCTAGGTCTCTTAATTCCCTCTTTCTATATACTTTTAGAATCTCACTCAATATCACTCATATGGAAATCCAAGATCACCTCTTCTACCTCCAACTTATGGAAAAACAAATCACTATTCTTAGCATTGATGGAGGTGGAATAAGAGGCATTATTCCAGGAACTATCCTTGCATTTTTAGAGTCCGAGCTCCGGGTAGATCATAAGAAACTCGGTTCCTTTTAAGCACGTATATTGCACGTTAGATAGCCATGTAACATCATGCATGTTTTTTGTGTTTGTAAGCTCATGATCATATAATATAAAAAAGAATAAGAAATTAAGTTGAATGCATGAAGTAAGTATAAAACTTAATAGTTTTAGCCTTCTCTCAGTGCAAGGTCTGTAATGTTTATTTATTTGTCACGTATATATGATCGAGTTATTGCTTTGCTATTCATTACTTTTGTAGAAGCCGGATGGTGCGGATGTAAGACTTGCGGACTACTTTGATTTGATTTCAAGGACTAACACCGGTGGACTCGTGACTACTATGTTAGTCGCCTCAAATGATCAAAACTACCTTTTGTTTGTCGCTAAAGACATTAATGACTTTTACCTCGAGAACCGCCCTAAAATCTTTCCTCAAGATGAGTAATAATCCTAATGATGAATTATTGCAATGAAACCGCTTATTTTTTTTCTTGAAATTGCCAAATTACTAATTATGTATTGTTTGGCAATAGATCTCCATTTGCTTCGCTGCAAATCTGTTGAAGACTTTGAGTGGACCAAAATATGATGGCAAATTCTTGCATAGCATTGTCAAGGAGAAGTTGGGAGATACACAACTGCACCGGACCTTGACTAATATTGTGATCCCAACTTTTGATATCAAGCGTCGACGACCTACAATCTTTTATAACTTAAGAGAATTTACCTTCACAAGTTTAGGAAACAAATTTTTTGGATCGTCAACAATGTTACCAAGCAGAAAAGGTTCGATACATGAGAGCCGGATACAAAAAATTTAAGGACATGAAAATCACTTCCTCTACCAAAAACTCGAAGATTTCCTATATAAATTTTCATCTCAAATTAATATCATATCAATACCGATGTAATTGTAGAAATCACTAGTCCCGTTATCGTACTTAAAGAAAACTTATGTCCGTCAATAAACAAAAGCAAAGGCAGTGGGTTATACAAGGAGCAAAACCTCTTGCATAAGTCCGGCGGGGATGGCTATGGTGTTTGGTTGCTTCTATGAGTAAAAGGAAGCTTTGCTAAGAATGGGGGAGGGGTAGATGAATTCCAACTTAATGCTTTCAAGTACAAGGGAAAAAGTAGCAAAACTACAATTCCAACTTAATGATTTCAAGTACAAGGAAGACCCGGAGATGCTAGACGAAAAAAAAAATAGAACACATAGGTGAAAGGAATAAAGATTAGTTCAACTTCAATCAAAGAACACTTCAAATCTTGCATGTTGAATCAATATATAAGAATCATGCGTTGGACGCCATAATTCACAAGAAGGAAGCAAGAATTCCCAAGCACACAAAACCAAATAGAAAACATCAAAACTATAGGTTTTCTCCTCATGATTCGTCGATGTGCTTGTTCGTAGCTAGAGTACAAGCAACTATAGATGGTTCTTAGCACGATCCACTTATTTTTTAAAGCAAATTCATATCCCTAAACCGATCCATTTTGTTCTATTCATAATCCCCCAATCTTCAAGACAAGAATTTTACATCGCATTCTCGACACAAAATTGCACAATCTAGGCAGTAACTTGCTAATTAGGACAAGCAATTTCATGACACAATAACATCATTGACGAGTGTCTTTGAAGTATAACATCTAGGCAAAAATTAAGTACTTAAGCATGAAAACTTCTTCTTTCAAGCAAGTTTCTTAATAGGAAAACATTACCTTAGGATTGCCTTAGGATACGGAGATGCTTTTAGGACTCGGAGTAACGATCCTTCTCCAGCTTGGGAATTCTTTTCAAGACAATCGCTCTTGCTTCCCCGGTGCTCTAGCCTTAAGTCACAAAATAAGAACAAGACAAGTAGCATATTAGATTGAAAATTTCAAGGGAATTAGAGAAGAAAAGAGTTGGTAATCTAATTGATTGGCCACAAAATTAAACTTAGCATACTTACCATTATAGAGATCAATGATAAAATCAACAATGAGTACTCGATTGATTTAGAGGATAGCTATAATTTCGTTTCTAACAAAAAGGAGACAAGGACAAAGGAGAGGAGAAGAACAAATAAGCGAGAGGAGAAGAAGCACAAAGTAGAGGAGAAGAATGAAGAAGAAGAGGAGATGAAGCACGAAGCGAGAGGAGAAGATTGAATAAACGAGAGGAGAAGAAAAACCCTAAGAGGAGAGGGATAATGTAGGGAGGAGAAGAAAAACCCTAAGAGGAGAAGGATAATGTGGCGTTCTTTTCTCTTTAAGAACCAAAAAAAAAAAAAAAAAGTAAAGAAAGAAGAAGCAGATCGAAGATGGAAGAAGCAGAGAAGAAGAACCTCACCGAAGGAAAGCTCTCGATAAGATCTTCCCCTTTCGTAACCAAACAAAATTAAAAATGAGGAAGCCAAAGAGAAGAAGGATGCAACAAATCGAGGAGAATGAGCAAATTTAGAAGGAGAAGCTCGAAAACCCTAAGGAGAGGGAAGATGAAAGAGCTTAATTTTGTCGTTTCGTAACCAAACAAAAAAAAGTAAGGAAAAAAAATTCTTTCATGAATAAAACTCGCGCCTCCGATAAAACTTTGGGGCGGTTTTGTAAACCGTCTCAAATTTGTTTCATAAAAGTAGCTATTAAAACACTATAAACCGCCTCAAGAATTCCGCCTCTATACGTGTTTTTTGTTGTAGTGTCGGCTTCTAGTAGAGTTGCAATGCCGTTGCCATTGACATATGAGACTCTAGACTAAAAAGAGTTCAGAAAAATATAGAGTTGCCATTTAATGTTTTAAAGAAATTAAAAAAAATCTAAAAAAGACACTAATTCTATAGAAGTTGATAAGGAGTTGATTATTTTTTAATGAAAAATAATAATTACCCAAAAACATTATTTTTCATGAAAAATTACCTTAGCTGTTTTTATTCTTAATACATTTTCTATAAATAATTATTTACTAAATTATTTTCTAAACTTATTTTGTGAGTTCACTTTTAAATCAAATCATTTTAAATTTGAAATTAATCTGAAAAATTAATTATTCAAATTTATTGTTCTGGTTTTTAAAACTTGAAATTGGTAGGCTTTGAAAATGAGTTTAGAGGTCTGTTTCTATTTAATTTTGGGTAAAAGTCTGTAAATCATGCTGGAGTTTTAGCATCATTGCCTGGCCCGATTAGAAGTTTTCTAAATATTTTCTCTTTTGCTCGATCATTTGTATTGTTCACCACCAGCTTACCACCCCTCCAACCACGAGATCACCGCCACGTATGTAAAACCATACTTCAATAAAAAAATTACAACTTTTTTTTTTTAATATTAAAAACCTTTTTTAATTTTTAATTTTTTAAATTCAAGTTAAGTATTTTATTTCTATGAAGTGAATTTGATCAATCTATAGAAAGAGTTAAGAGTTATGATTGGAGCCAACTGATCAATAGTTTATCAATTTTGATGTTAATTAATCTAAAAATCAAATTCCTTTTGTTACTTTTGCAAGATTTCCTCCATGTTTTGGATATAAAACAAAAAAAATAATTTAAATACCTTCAATTTCAATAACCTTTAACCTAATCAATCAACTTTAAGTTGTTTTTTAAAAAAATTAACTTCAAATTTCTAAAATATAAATTTAAATCATAATTTATAATTCTCCATGACCCACGTGTTGTCAGAAGTTTTTTTATGTATTTTTGTTAATTAAAAAAAAAACTAATTAAAGAGGGAAAAAATGTTAATAATTATAAAATTATTAAGCATTATTCTTAGACAAATCTTTTTTTATATAATGCAAAATTAGTAAAATTAGATATCCGTAACAAAATTACAATAATTAAATCCTTTTTTATATAATTATTTATTTAATGCAGATCTTTTTAACTGTAAACAGGAAAAGATGAGGAAAATTAGTTAAATCTATGAATATGGAATAGCAGAGTAGTTTGTTCCTCCGTAACAACTTTATTCAAGAAAATAATTAATATGCTAGTAACAGCACAATGTTTTCTACCGTAATTCTCTCATTCAATTAACATAGAAAGAAAATTACAAATTTGTCCATACTAGTAGTAATTAAACATCTGGCCGCCCTGAAAAAGTATATCTAAGAAGAGCACCCACACGGCCATACAATAGAAAACTGCTACTTGCACATTTCTTTAACTATTCAGCACTCTTTCTTTGCTTCTCGTAATAATCGTAGATAGCTGCACCCGATAGGAGTGCCAGTGTTATGGCTTGTGCATGCATCCTGTAGGCATCGGAAATTTTTATTTTTATTTTTTTAAATAGAAATATTTAAGACAGGCATGTGCATTTATATATATTTATATATATATATATATATATATATATATATAATTGGGAGGTACCTGGCATGTATGAGCCTAAGACTTGGCTTGACGAGAGGAGTTCTTGTACGTGTATAAGCAAGTGACCCTCCAATGGCTGTTGCCCATAGTGTTCCTGCATCGTTTAGTTAATTAAATTAGGATAACAAGACGCAATTAGCCATAATAGAAATGAAGGGTTAGCTAGAATGATGAAACTGGAATCACTAACCAATGCTAGTAAGCTTGTGCTCTGAAACCCATGACTGAATTGCCTCCATCTTCTTGCTTAGAGTTGATAAACTGGCAAGGGACGTAAGGTTTCAAAGGTGGTTGTCATTTATAGACAAAGAGGAGTGAGCGGTGATGTTGAAATATGAGCCTTTTTGTTGTTACTGTGGCCCCTTGGTTTTGATATTACTCTTTTCTTGGAACGTTGGAACTTTAAACAAGAGGCTCCACTTACCAGGTTTCGTTACTGTGCTCTTTCTATCTGCACTTCCTTTACTGATAAAAACATGTGCCCACGTCACCTCATGTGTGCATGCCTTTCCAGTGCCGGTGGATTTCCATTGAAATCTAGGAGTACATAGATGGGCACACGAGAAAAACGAGCATTGAAATGATAAACAAATAAGGATTTTTATAAGGATACAAGCTAATTAAGTTTTCATTATTCTACCTCACCGAAAACAGTTACACTCGCACGCACAACCCAAACCAGTCAGAGAGAGTTAGAGATAAACAAAAAAGGATTTTTATAAGGATACAAGCTAATTAAGGGTCCATTTATTACCATTTCCTATTTAATGTTTTCTATTTTTAGGCATAGCTTGACATGGTTGTTGGATGCATGGAAATGATTTTCTCATATGTTATTACATACAGAAAATGGTTTTCTCATATGATATTAGAAAATTCAATTTAGTTAAAGTCAATTTTTTATGCTGCTTTTTAATTAAATCAAAATCTCGACTTTTTTTATTCTTCTCTCTTTTTTTTTTTTTTTTTTGAAATTTAAATCATTACAATAAAACTAAACTAAAACAATTGATTACTATTTACTCGTGCTATTTAAAATACTATTCATCTAAGCTCATTTGTATTATTCACCTCGATGCACTATTTCTTTCACTCGTAAAGTGATATTTTTTTTGTAGTTTTTAAATATTTTTTCGTGACATTATACTTTGGTTCTTCTTTTTTAAATATTATTTTTTAGTCCGTAAATATTTTTTATTTGATTTTGGTCTCACTTTTTGTTTCATTTTGGTCACTTTGATTTTTTTTTCCTTTGATTTTTTATTAAAAATTTTAAGGTAAAAAGATGTTTAGAAAAAAAAAACAATTTACAAAGTAAGGTTTTCACTAAAAATGTGGATAGAGATAAATAAATAATTTTTTTAATAAAAAATTTATGAAAATATAAAAAATAATTAGTCAAATACAAAATTTTAATTAAAAAACAATGATAAAATTGAATGAATTTTTATTTAGTTTTGATTTGATATATTTTGATAGATATATAATATAACACGAGACATCAAAATAAAATAAAATTTTAAAAATAATTTATATATTTTGTCCTATTTGTAATATAATGCGGATAAAAAAACTAATATAAGTGAAAGTATAATAACGTATCTAATAGATAGAGATTAAAGAGTTTAATATATGAATTTTGATCTACTGAAATGAGCTGTGTTTTAAGAGGGTTGTAGAGCATATATATATATATATATATATATATAATCCTTTTTATTATATTTATTTTTTAAGGGTGAAAATGAAAAAGGAAAGAAGTAAATGGGCTTGTAGTTGGGCTGAACTCTAACCAGTAGCCATGGTTCTTAAGCTTCCCAATCACCGAGAAATGGGCCAGTTCGTCTGCGATCTGACCGAACCTCTAACCGACTTGTCTTACGCACGCATGCCATCAATCTTCTTCCGTTCTCTAGACATCTCCATTATTCTCCACTGAATCGCAGAATTTCCCGCCAATACAAATAAATATCTGAAGCAGTATTATTGTTATTACTAATTAATTGGCTTCCTCTCAACACCATCTCTACGCTCTTCACTTTACTTTTTAATATGTACCATCTAATAGCAGTAGCAGTAAGCTAAAAATCGAAGACAATGGAAGCAGCAGGTATGAGGAGTAACAACAACAACAATGACAATAATAATAACAATAGACGAAGAAGCCGAAGCAGAAGCAGAAGCAGAAAGCCACTGGCAGATTGCACCAACCTTTCACAAACTTCATCGACATCATCAACTAACAATTCTTCCTCCTTTCCTTCTTCTTTTAAAAAACCACCCATTATTCTCTCCAATTTCCCAACCACCAAAAACAAATCTACCGCCGTTGTTCTCCCTACTCCTTCTCGCCCACCTCAATCCTCTTCTCTTCCTGGTAATGTTTCTTTCATTTCGGCGTGTAGGGTTTCCGATTCATTTTCATTTTTATCAATTAATTAATTACACCTATAAATAACGACAAGTCTTTATTGGGTTTCTACTCTTTTTGGTATACTGTATGTTGATGTGATTTTAGATTTATGGGTTTTTGTTATTTTATTAACTTTAGCCCATGAATGATGTTGTCGTCTGTTGGGTTCTTACCCTTTTGGTTATATATGGTTGTTGATATACCACAATTTGATTTCTCTATGTTATTTTTTGGATGCAATATTATAGTGAAGGCAGCATGTTTGTTTTGCTAAATTTGATGGGTTCTCTCTATTTATGTATTTACTGAATTCTGAAAGGTAATGAGATTGATTATGTTTTGTGATCTGAGATAATTAGGTCTTGCTAGTGATGAGATTGTTGAGCCGCATTCAGTTTACACTCGGAGACAGTCTGCATCAGATAAAAGGAAGAGTAAAGGGAAGGCAATTGCTGTGCCTCTAAGTTTGACTCCTGCACCAAAGATCCAAGTTGCTTCGTAAATTTCATTCACTATCTTTATCGTATTGCCTTTTCCCTTCCCCTTTAATACTAAGTCATTGACATGAAGTAGAAAAACCTTGATGGCTACGCATGTAGAGATTGTTATAATTGCAATACAAAATAGCCAGCTAATTTACATCATTGTTTCAAATTGATTGACAATGTCTAAACTGGACTTTCATAGTTAAAGCAACCACTCCCTCTGTAAAGAAATGAGTTATTGAATTGTGACTTTCGGTTGACAATTTGGAATGTTGATTGTGGTGGCTTTGTGGGATTTAGTGCTAAATGTGAATTCAAATATTAAAACAGGATAGCTACTTGTGTCCTAGAGCTTTGTGGTCTTTTGACAATCCGGTTTCTAATAATTTGAAACAATGTGCACAAATTGAAGGGATAAACTGGTCTAAAAGCCTCTGAATCTTTTTTTTTTTGGTTATTTATTTTGATTTCCTCTCTCATACTTATGTTCTGGCTGATGTTGAAGGTGCAGTAAACAATGATTTGCTTATACATGGTAAAACTTAGTCCTGTTTTCTTCAGTTCTCTGATTTAGATATTGGTTGTACACAGGCATGAAAAGCCTTGAAGTCAGTATTCATGGCTTCCCGAAATCTTAGCAATAGCAATAGCATATGCTACTTCAACTAAGATTTTTTTTTTGGTGCATGAAAACATGGCTAATTGTTTTAATTGCTTGTAATATTACACCATTGTGTTTTTCCTATGCATTCCTGTGCAGATTCTGTCATTAGAGATCTTTCAGATTGATGAAAACCAAATGTTTTGTCATACCATTATACTCTCTTAACCTTGTTTCAAGTCTTCATTAACAAAAGTCTTTCTGGTTTTGTCTTCATTGTAGGGATAAAATGAATGAAGTTGGAGATACTCGTCCATCCAAGTCTTGTACAGTGCATCACAAAAAGGTTCGGGGATTAATGTAGTCTGTACTTGTAGCCATTGGCTCAGGCATTGATTTCACCATTGTTAAGCAAATCATTTTTAGTTCTAAAATTTTGTAAGGAGGCGTGCCTCTCCTGGTTGATGGACCATTTTGATTTCTGTCCTCACATGGATGATTTCTATTGTTATCACAAACCTCTCCCGTTGATTTCAAGCTGAGAAAGTTGGGCTGTGCACTTATAAAGAAGCAGTTGATCGGTTCTATGTCACTTCTAGCTTTTCTGGAATTCTTTTACTATTTTTTTTTAGGAGTGTAATCTTTTTATGTCCTTTATAATGTTGTTGGAGTATTTATTTGAAGCATCACTGTCAATTTAAAAGGGAATTGATAATGGTTCTTCTCTGTAGTGATGAAATAGTTTGTACTGCATAGAGTCAGTTGTAAATTTAACTGTTTTCTTTACTCTTGAATCATTTCATAAATTAATGTTCTTGCTTGGAGCTTTCTTCTTGCTCTAGATTTTAAAAGAAATGCATATTGACATTTATTTAGCTTGACTTTTAACACTATATGATGTTTTCACAGAAACAACGCGGGCCACTGTCTGACGAAGATCAGAAGAAGCATGCCTTGCCACAGGAATTTATTCAGCGGCAGAGAGCTTACTTTGCAGAAATCGATGCATTTGAACTGTCAGAGGAGGAGGTTGGTTCAAGTAACGAGTTAGACTGATTGCATGGGAGATGAAGTATGTTCTACACTATAGGATAAGCAATCAAGTCACACTAACCATGGAATTTTTGTATGTATAGGTAGAATAGTTTAATTCACATGTTCTGTTCTAAATGCCTCCCAACTCAGGTGCTTGACAATGTTCGAGTGTAGTTTAATGCGCGAAAATTCCTTAGGCAATAGATTATGTCTTTCCACAGAAAAATGGTCAAGGAAATGAAATTGGATTGATTTCTCTGCAATTTTCCATGTTCTACTTTGCAGCGGGTAAAATTGATGGTTAATGAGTTTTCTGTTTACAAGATTTGTAAAGATTATGCATTTATTTCATTATGCTGGTCATTTGAGTTTTTTATTCGTTGTTCCTACACTCTATTCTTAGTGAAACCAAGTTACAGCTCTAGCTTCTGAGATAGGCGAAACATCTTGATTGCTTTAACAATTTTCTTTCTTTTCTTTCTTTATCCTGTTCATAGTATGATAATAATTTTTCACTTCTACAATTCCTTCTGAAGGAAACTAGAGCCGCTGGTAGATATTTACTGCTGACAGTCATAAAAGATGGGACGCTTTCAGCAGATGAATTTCGATACTGGAATAATATTGAGTGGTTTTTCTTAACAAAGCACGTTAATGGCATATTGGACGCTCGATACAAAGTCTTTTTATTGCCAACGCATTCCTTTGATAATTTACCGACTGATTCTGAATATCACAAACAACTAATTTTCAGTTGGCTTGTCTACAATTCTTTCGTATCTCTCCTCGATTTCCTGTGACGGGCCTAATGCTGCTCATTTTGACCATAGCTTTGGCAAAGTCATTGAAAAATGTGAAAGGGTTGCGGGCATATGTTTTGACAAGAAGGTCAGCAGAGCTACCATTGAAGAATTCTTGATCTGAGTGAAGCAGGCCCTTCTTGTTCAACAAGTTCCTATAGTACGAATTATCGAAAAAGGTTGGGGTTCGGAGGTCAAGGGGTGCAAGCAAACTGTCATTTCCACTTCTTGGGCAAATGCGCTGCAACGACTTGACAAAGGCGGAGTCAATATTAGAGTCATTGTAGATCCGGCCTCGAAATGACGTGCACCTGGAGAAGCCTATGGTGTGCGAACCTGCCATCAAGATGATCGGTTTATCATAAAATAATATAAATTATATTTTAAAATTTTATCTAATAATTTAAGCTTTTGAATAAGATGATTTTATGGCATAATATTAAAGTCTTGATGATCAAATGATAACTAGTTTTATTATTCTTACTCTCTTCTAATAATGTGGATCCGTGTAAATTTCAAATCTAAAGGGTTTTCACTTAAAAAGACGTATTAGAAAATAATATAAATCATATATTGAGGTTTTACGTAACAATTTAAGTTTTTGATTAAGATGATCCTATGACATAATTATCTTGTTAAGTTATTAACTTTTTTTATTTTTTATTTTTTTTATTTGCGGATCTTAGTGGAAATGCAAGTTGGTATCTGTTCATTTCAAGGCCATTTGTTTTTGTTTTCTAACACGGTGAGTCCTCATTGGTGCACAAGTAATAACCTTGAATTGCAACCAGAAGAATGCAGATTGAAGTAATTTTGAGAGCAATAGCAGTCAAATTTATACTACAAAAAGTTTTAGGGCTAAAATAATCTGATCTGTTCATGCTGAACGGACGAATTGTCTTTAAATTTTTTCTTTCGTGCCAATGCAATCATGACTGAGTTATTTTTCTTTGTTTGATCAGTTTGTGCTTTAAAATTAATAACTAGTGATTCTTATAATAATAATAAGAAAAATATGAATTAGCTGTAGTAAAATATAATTTGTATCACCTGCTAGAGCCACCATGTCCTTGAAAGAGAGCCCTTGTGCAGAGAAGCTTGTTATGAGAGCACTTAGATTAGAAGTGGGTGGAGGAATAGAGGTATTCGCAGCAGCTCCGCTGGCTGTGAGAGAATCTCTTCTTCCCAACCCAACTTTCCAGGAAGGACCCCCCATCTACATATGAATGCCCATAAAAGCATTATATTACAGGCCTACTCTGGTCTAAAATCACAAATAACATTTAGATCATAGTCTGGGTCATAAATATTTGACTGATGTAAGAGTCTGCAAAACTTTAGAATTTGCTGCTAACTATTGATTTTGGAACTTACTTGAACAACCGAGTCTCTGGCTGCCAGAGCGACAATATCAGCACAAGACACTACGCCAGGGCAAGCCTTTTCCACTTGAGCTTTAATGTCATCAATAGCATTAAACCCTCTAATAGAACCGTTGTTAGGAACGGCTGTCTTCTCACCCGTAAAGGTGGCATTGTCATCCAACAAAATGGACCCATCACAACCCTAGCATGGAGCAGCAGTAGTGTCCAAATAGATTGATGATCATCAGTGATATAGTCGATAAGAAAAAAAGAAAAAAGAAAAAATGCAAACTAGAATTAGTTTTTATGTACTGACATTAACAAAGCAGTCATGAAAATGTAATCGGAGTAAAGATGCCCCCATGCGTGTTTCCTTTCTTATAGCTTCAGCAACTCCTTGCTCAACTATTGTTAACGCTTTTGGGCACGTTGTCGAGTAGTAGTTTGGTGATAGCCTGCAATCAGCTACAAGAGAAGTACAAGCTGCAGCCAGAAGATAATTAAGCAGCACAAACTTGTAAGGAGCCATAACCATTAAATTCTTTGTTATCTCACTGATCATGACGATGAATAACATATATGGTCTTGTTATATATATATATATATATATAATCAAGCTCATGAAATTAAGTAGCTGTTGAGTCAAGTATAGGTATAAGCTCAATAATAAATATATATTGAAACCGTAATTCAAGCTACAATGAAGCAAAGCTTGAATTGATTTATTTGATTAGTATCAATAAAGCATCCTAATTTTACAATTTAATTAGTTTCTCATTTCAACTGCTCAGAAGACATAATATTGTTACTATGTCGAAACTAACCCCATCGTCACTATACTTGTTTAATTTTATAGTTTGTTGGGTTCTGAATCGTAAAATGCCACTTTGAATGAGCTAGCAGTTAGTACAGGTTTCATCAATTTTTATTTTTTTTGGTCGAAAAATGTGAAATATTCTACCTAATTTTCCATTTTTTTTTTTACAAAATAATAATAATAATGAGTCGTAAATTAACATGTCTAGTAAAATTATGAAATGTGGTTCACGCAGGCTAAGTGAGGGTTTCGTAGTTGAGTGGAATACTCGGATGATCCTTAATACTTGATACTTGCAAAACAAGTCTCTCGCGATGTGCAAGAGTCTTTGACGATCAAGTTAATTGTCGAAAAGTGACGAATTCACCTAAAAAGTTCTTTTGGAAAGATAAAAAAGTATTTGATTGTATATAAACAGTTTGTAGATGAGATAGAATTGTTAAGGAGATAGAACCTACTTTGGAATTGTTTTTTGTTTTTTGTTTAAAAACTGTTACTCTTTGATAGTTTGGACCTTTAGATAGGCGGACAACTTGCATAGTGAGAAGGATAGTAATTCATTTTTCTTTGGCGTTAGTGGCTGAATCAACATGTAATGGTGCTCTACCATCATTATTTTTTATCTCGCAATGACATTAGTGTTATAATGATGAGTGACAATTTGATTGGTATTATCATTAGAGAATCTTTATTAAATATTTTATCTCTTTTAGTGATAGTAAAAGAAGGTAGTGTTTTCTTTTTTAGACTAGAGTACCTTTGAGGAGGAGAGCTCCTAAATTTTTTTTAGGAAGAGGCCTCGCCTTTTGTGGGTTAACTCTCAATTAGTGGACTTTAGGCCCGTCCGGTTGGTTATTTCTCTATGTTGTAATTTATGGACCTAAGTTAGGCTTGGTGGATTTGGTGTTGTGTGTTTATGGGTCCTTTTTGTTGGGCTGCACATGGATGATACTAATGAGTTTATCTCAATCATTAGTCCCCTTTAAGTCTAGTCTAACTTGTTTAGCCTAGACTTGAAAACTATTGACTCGGGTGTTTCAAGTGATGTTTTTTCTTCACTAAGGGAGACTATCAATGTTCTTTCTTTTGGTTTTGCTTGGCCAAGGTTTGTCATCAATCTTTTTCTTTAGAATTTTCATGCTTTGAAATTGGTAGTTTTGAGTAAGGAAAGGGCAATTGTCCGCATGTTAAGCGTTTTTATCACTACAAAAAATGCATCTCTTGTATTTTCCAAAAAAGTAATGGTTATTCTCATTAAAAATCTACATGTCCAACCCATTGCCTCATAATGCTTTGCCACATTTATATGGAGCTATACCTTGGGATTAGTGTGTCATGATTAGGAGAGAATGCTTCCTTTTGCTTGTATATAGCTTTATTGAAGGAGTTTTCCTTTACTTCTATAGACTTTAACTTCATTATGGGCAATTTTTGACAAGTTGTTTGACATTTCTTAGAGTCTTCTAGAGAGGGCTTTTTTTTTGCACCCTTCCTTTTTGTCTTAAAGGTATTTTTTTTTCTTACTTGGGTGCTATTTTGAGGCATTCTTTGTTTCAAATCTACATTTATAGGAGGTAATTTTTATTTTTTTCTCATTTTCATTTAGTATAGAGATGTGTGATCTAGAGAGAGCTAAACGTACATCTAGGATCGTGTCTAGTAAGGGTATGAGAGTACGTTCCTACTCTAGTATTGGTGAGTCCTCTTCTCTTCAAGTCGAGTCTATAGGTGTGTCTTTTTTTTTTTTTTTACTACGAAGGTCCAAGCTATGTGTCCGGTAAAAGGCTAGTTACTTGTGGTGGTTTGTTGGAGGAGAATTTTCTTTCAAATTGTAGCCATCCTAATGACATGATGAACAAACCCCTTTTTGGCATAGTCGAGAAAAGCTTGAATATTATTGTCCCTACATACATGCTTGAGTATGGATTTACTTTTTCTCTAATTAGTTTTATGACGGAGGTGTATGATTACTTTTTCCGAGTTTAGGTTAGATTCACCTCAATTGATGGACATTTTTGGTTTCTTTTGACCACTTTGTTGAAGTCTTAGGGTTATCCTAACTCTTAACCTTTTTAGATATTCTTATTATTTGATAAGTAGAGCTGAAAAAGATAGAAGGAGGGCTCGAGTGTATACTCTACAAGCCCATTGAAAGGAGTATTTATAAGGATCTCCGACATAGTACACAATTGGAATGAGGAATGGTTTATTGGTAGGTACCAAGGTGTGGCTCTTTAGGACCATAATTGGGCAATTTGGGGGTGTTCCTTATGGAGGTCTCATCGGGGTAGCCTTGACACCTTTCCTCTCTAGAAAGGCATTGAGCTTGCTTTTTGGGACTTGGTGAAGAGCAAGAAAAGAGAGGTACATTATTAATCAATTGGCTAGAAGGCAATCTTTGATCTATAGTTTGTTGGATAGATAGTTAGATTTTAGTTTATCTTTGTTTATATCTATTTCATTATTTCTTATTTTTAATAGCTCGTTTTTTTTTAGGGAGTCCGTTGCTTAAGAAAGACAACGATCCTTGTTGGTTTCTCATAGAACCCTTTATGTTTCGTGTAGAGGAGAATTCTACTACCAACAAGGCTCTATCTTATTCATGGATACCTACTTCTAGGATGATGCTTGCTCGTCAATAAGAATTTACCCATTAGAGACATAGACTATTAGTTGGCTAAGAAGCACAAAGTGGCTTTTGGCTTTAGAAATGTGAGGAACACTTCTATGCATCCCTTGAAGAAAAAGGTTAACCTCTTGTTAGTGGAAAGGTAAATTACTCCTCTTTCTACCACTAAGAAAGTTGTGTGCCTAATAGTCATCTTAAAGGATAATGCCATGACTATTCTATAAAGAGCCTTGATAAGGGTGGTGAAATCTTTTACATATATTCCATAATTAGGGTGAAAAGCTAATGGCATTTATGTGTGTACAACTCGTTTCCCCTTCTAACCAGACTTCGAGAAATAAAGTCATCAAGGCTTCTATTCGGAGGCTAAGCCATGTGCCGAGAGGCGTCCATTTACCTTTGCTTTCTATGAAGCAGCTCCGTCTACCACATGATTTGTTTGGTTGTGCTACTTTTCTAAAAAGAGAGGAGGGGAGGAGGCCCTCTTATTTTCTTAGGGAGATCTCTTTACCTCTAATCGATATGGGGTATTA